GTGTGTGTGTGTGTGTGTGTGTGTGTGTGTGTGTGTGTGTGTGTGTGTGTGTGTGGTCTCTGATCCCCTGCCCCCAACGCCAGAACGCTGGAGCCAAAAGACATAAGTAGGAGCGAGACATGAGTAAACAGAGGCGGCCAAGAAATCTGCATGCAGCTTTTGTTGTTAACTTTGACAAGTTATCTGAATCCTATTTGGAGCTGGAGTGAGTGTAATAACAGGAAATAAGCTGAACGTGCAGCTCATTCCTCCACGTATCAAAGAGCTGACTGTAGCTGTTTAAAGAAAAGCCTTCATCTCGGAAGGATTTTTCAAGAGTCMAAATAATTCTGTGTTTTGTGCAGGTAATCCTCATGCGTATCATTTGAATCCRCTGATGTTTTCTTTAGAACAAAAACAAGCACTGAACATGTGCTCAACCACTTCRGCCTCGCTTCTTTTTTTTAAATCCCTTAAAAGCATTTATGTAGCTTAGCTTTAAAGAGAGAAAAGAGAGAAACAGCAGGGCGTGGTCCATACATACCTTTGCCCTGGCCTCTTTTATCATTGGATCAGTTAACGTTCCCTTTAAACCGCAGCAAACAGGCCTGCTTTGACAAGGAAAATGTCTTCTCCAAGTTTAGTATATCTGCCTAGATTGCCCCACCGTGACTCCAACAAAATGTGTTATTCAGCTGCCTATTTTCAGTTTGTGTGTGTGCGTGTGTGTGACTGATGGGGAGGAATTTCTCTCGGACTGATAAGATCGTCTCAGTTCGCTCACATAGGGGCTCTATCAGGACAAAAACATGCACACAGACACTAGTTTTACCCCCATCGCAATCTGTTGGATGGGATGAGGCTTTTTTCATGTTTAAATTAAAACTGCTGCACGTCTCCAGGATGTTGGTTGGGACCAAATTGTAAAAAGCCAATGTTGCCATTTCTCAAATTGCACCGTCTGCACTATTTACATTTAGTCTCTCCTCCGCCATGATAAGCAAATTACTGAAACGTGGAATGAAAATTGTACTGCTGTAATCTTAACCATTGTTTGCAGCTGAGTCCCAATCTGTGCTGATTTATAATGAGCCTTTGTGAGTGCAGTGTGTGTTTAGTGCAATCAGTGAAACAAGAATGTGCAACAATGGAAAATGGCATTGAGTCATACAGGATAGTCTGTAAATGATCTAATTACTTCAGTAGTGTATGATTTCCTAAATAAGATGACATCTTAATTTATTGTCACACGTCTGTTAACAGGCAGTATGTTTCATT